GACGGGGCTTCCTGATGAAGAAGACTGAAGAGCCTTCCTGGTGGAGGGTGGAGCTTCCAAGCCAAATCCCAAAGCAGAAGTGGATGTGAGCGTGGCACGGGGAGAGAGGAAGAGATAGGACAAATCAATTGGTCCCCCTGAGCAGGAGGGCTCCAGTGAGATGCCCACAGGGCCTGGCATAAAGGACGGACTCAGTGAATATATATTAAAAAGATGAATGATGGATTTGAGACCTCTGATCTCTCAACCAATGCCTGGCATTGCCCTCCTACTGGGTGGAGTAGGAAAGTGGTTGTGAGGCCAGTGTATCCTCAAAGTGACATCCCCTCAACCCTGGCCCCTTCCGTCCCAACTTGGATACTCTGAGCTGGAGCAGCGCATTCCCACAGCCCCAGCCATGTCCACGTGGCCCCGGCCCCCTTCCTGGGCCCCGTGCTCCCCCACATATCTTCGTAACAAGCTTGTGCCTGTGTAGCCTCCAAGCTGGGTTCATAGTTTCCCAGATCAGGGCCTCCCACCCATTCCAGAGCAGGCACGTACTGCCAAATTGGTTCCAAGGCTTTGTCCTGCTTCTCTGAAAGAGGCGGTCATCAGGGACAGAGAGTATCTCCCGTCGCAGACTGCCTGAAGGCTCTCCCATCAAAGGATTTCATGTTGTTGTTGGCTGCTGTTGAGGCGGCCCCGACCCACGGAGACCCCATGTACAATGGAACAAAACACTGCCTGGTTCTGCACCATCCTCATGATCAGTTGGGGCTCGGGTCACTGTGATCCACAGGGTTTTCACTGGCTAATTTTCAAAAACAGATTACCAGGTCTTTCTTTCTAGTCTATCTTAGTCTGGCAGCTCTGTGCTGAAACCTAGTTAGCGTCATAGTAACACGCAAACCTCCACTGACAGATGGGTTGCTGTGCACGAAGTACATTGCCTGGGGATCGAGCCCAGGTCTCCCACATGGAAGGCGAGAATTCTACCACTGAGCCATCACTGCCCCTCACCAAAGGATTTCATAGACCCACAAAATGGTAGGCCTGGGTCTCGTCCTCTCCAGAGGACACCTCTTTAAAGACTCCACCCAGGTCAAGTTCACAGCCTGGCAGAACAGACCAGGCAGACCACAGCATCCAGGAGGGGCCAGCCCCCTTCAGCCCGACAGAAGAAACCCTGTTCTCAACTTTTTGGGCTCCTCTGTCCCACTGCGGGAAAGGGGAAACTTCTCTGGAGTAACCAGAGACCAGCCCATTTCCTGCTCAGCTCAGCTGCAGCCCTCTATTGCAAAAAAAATAAGTACAATTTGTCACCTGGAGAGAAAAGGGTTATCTTTCAAGCTTGTACAGTCCATAAAAATGTAGAACAAGAAGTGCCTTAGAAATCATGAAATCTAAACCCCCCTCTTGTCAGATGTGGAAACAGAGGTCTAAAATTGTGGAGGCTCAGTTGCTGAGCACAAATGAATACATTTCTGGATTCCACCAGGAACCCAGTGTGCGTGCAAAAAGATTTCTGCTCAATAAATGCATTTGCCCTTGGGATGCACAGCCGAGACTAGAACCCCTGTCTGAGCCTCCAGGCTCATAGCCTTAATGTTACTAGGCTCTCTGCCTCCTCCTGGCTGTGCCTTTCCTGAGGGTTTGTTCCCTCCAGGGCGCTAGGGCACAAGCTGGTGGGTGATTTGTCAGACAGTGAGTCCTGGGGGCTGCCTGGCAGTCTGCCATCCAGATGGCAGCAGACTAAATCCAACAGGGTTGGTGGTGGAATGAGTGTATGTTCTCGTTTGGGGGGGGGGGGTCTAGGTGGGCTGACTCGCCCATAGCTTGCGGGGAGTTTCCAGGGTCTAGGGAGCTGCTCCTTCTCCCCCAGTCCTTGCCACACCCACCAGCCTCACCTTCCAAGTAAACATAAAAGAGCAGATGTTCTGACAGTCTCTGCCCACTAGCAGAGCCACACTGTATAAGGAAAATCCCAATCTCCACAGGGCTGATGTTCGTAAAGAAAAGATGGCAAGGGATACAGGACAGGCAGTGTGGGGTCAAAACTTCTGGCTGAGGACTCCGAAGGCTTCAGCCCCTACTGCCATGTGACCTCTGAGCCTCAGTCTCCCCATCTACACTGTCCAGACTGCATGTTCCCTCAAAGCTCCTTCCAGCTCTGAGAAATCTAGGATTCCAAGGTCAGGGACTGTGTCTCCCTCTTCACCATCATGTCCCAGCAATTAACACATTACCTAGCACATAAACCAGCTGCCATCAAGTCGATTCTGACTCATGGCGATCCCACGTGTCAGGGTAGAACTGTGTTCCACAGGGTTTTCAACGGCTAATCTTTCAGAAGTAGACCGCCAGGCCTTTCTTCCGAGGTGCCTCTGAATGGACTTCAACAGCCAACCTTTTGGTTAGCAGCTGAGTGCATTACTTGAAAGAATTTGTTGAATGATTTCAAGATCTTATGGAGGCCAGGAAGGAAATCCTTTCTTTAGAGATCTACCACCTGACCACCAGAGAAGTCTTGGAAAAGGCCTGGCAATCCAGGAGCCCTTGGCAAACCTGCTTCCTCTCCTAGATATACGGATCTAGTTGGAGGAGCCAAGCAGGAAATGTGCCTGGGGGGGAGAGTAGGTGGCCTGAACCCCAGACACAGCAGATCGTCCTACTTCCACTTTCTTAACTTATGTGGCTCCTCCCCTCTCTTTCTGACTTCTTCCCCCTCCTCCTTGGCCCTCTTCCTCCCTTTGTCTCCTCTCTCTGCCCTCCCCTCCCACAGTGTCAGCCTTTCCTTCCCTTCGTTGTGGAGGCTCAGAGCCTCCTGATCATCCCCAGAGTCTGCCTGACCCTCTATTACTCAGGGAGACTCAGGGGCTGAGGCTAGACTACCAGAAGGGGCCAGGAGCCACAGGCTTTCTTGAGATCAGGAGGAAGCAGCAGTGTTGCTGTCGTTGTTAGGCGCCATCAAGTCAGTTCCAACTCATAGCGACCTTACATATAACAGAATGAAATGGTGCCCAGCCATGCGCTAGCCTCACAATAATTGCTATGTTTGAGCCCACTGCACGCAGAAGCAGCAGTGGAGAGATTTAAATTTTGGTCCATGCCTAGGCTCTTAAGTCTGGCACCTAGGAGAGGGTTTCTGCTTTTGAGGGACTCTAGAAGCAACTTTTCCTCCACCTTCCTCTTCAGGGCTCCCAGGGAGATGTTAGGGTTTTTCCTCTAGGCTCCTGAGCCTCCACATCTTTCTCTATACACCCATAGAGCATAGAGATAAATAAGGCAGGAAACTCCCTCTCTCCCTTGCCTTATCCCAGCTTGACACCTGTTAAAAGGAAAGAAGGGCGGGTATGTTGAAGGAGGTGATGGTAAGTATTATTATCAGGAGTGTGTGAGAGCACACACAGTATGAGGTAGGGTGTATGTGTAGCACTGTGGGTGGTGTGTATGTGGGATGGTATATGTATGGTGTTTTGGATGTGTATGTGCTGTGTGTGGTGTGCGAGGTTGTGTTTATGGAGTGCATGTGGCAAGTAGGATGTGTGGCATGTTGTGTGTGGAGTATGTGTGAAGGTATGGTTATAGAGTGTGCAATACAGTATGTGTGTAGTATATGTGTAGGGTGTGTGTGTAAAGAATATTTATAGTGTGCTTCTGGTGCACAGTGTGTGTGTGTGTGTGTGTGTGTGTGTGTGTGTGTGTGTGTGTGTGTGTGTGTGTGTGTGTTGTGGTAAGGGGCCATGTCAGGTTACGGTGGGAGCTGGAGATCCAGGGTCTCCAGTCCAGAGAAGCCAGAATAACCAGTATCTAGGCAACCATACTGGGGGGAGGGGAGGAGAGCTGGAGGTGAGGAATGGGCTGGAAAAGGAAGGAGAGAGGCTGAGAACTAGAGAGGAGTTTCCATGGCAACTACCAGGCAGGTCACGTGCAAAAGGCTAAGTTGTGGAAACAGATACATATATCCACACATACACAATGTGAGGGCGGCTGGGCTCCAGAGTGTGGGTTCTTTCATAGAGGGAGTGGGCTGCCCAGTGATCCATCTCCAAGCCTGGAAATCCTGGCCCGGCCATACAGCATTATGCCAAGGAGACAGAAGCTACATTTGTGGGAGAAGCCCTGAGCAATCACAGCCCCTGCACCTGGAGGCTGGCAGCAGGGGACAGCCAGGCCCATTTCTCCTGTACAGCTGCTCCCTGCTCCCACCCTCAGGTGCTTTCTCTACCAGCCACCACTTGTAAGAGCTGGAAGCAAGTGCCAGAAGACCCAGGCTGCTCACCCAACTCTGCACCGAAGCCCAGGGAAACACAGTGGGAGACAGGGCTCCTGGCTCCACTGAGACCAGCCCTGCTGGGGAAGAAGGGGCTGCACATAAGGAAGAGGAGGGAATTGGAACGGGGCCCCCCCGGAAGGGAAGGAAAACAGGACTGGAAAGAAGAAATGGGGGAAAAAATGATGCAGACCTTCTCATCAATCCCTGTGCCCTGGAGCCCCAGCCCCTTCTTTACCTGCCCCCCACCCCTTTGCCTGCTGCCCTGCCCCAAGCCCTCGCCATGCCCCCCAAGCACCAAACCAGCAAGTTCCATTTTGTATTGCTCATGTGCTCACACTACCATCCAGCCACACTCCCCAGGCAAGTCTCCACAGCCTCCAAGTAACAAAGAAAAACACCCTCTGGTTAGACATGGTGGGAGCCGCCCTTTGCCATTCTCCCAAAAACCACAGTCCCAAGCTCAAGGCAGCATCGCGAGCATTTCCCTGCCACCAGCTTCGCCCTCACTGCCCTGTCTGCCTCCCCTCAGCGGCCCCTAGGCCCTTCTGACGCCCACCTTCTTGTTTACATCCCCAAACCTGTTTCCAGCTGCCCAGACGGGGTCGAGGGCGGCCGCTTACCAGGAAAGACGGCACACATCCACGGTCACAGACAAAACCCGCCGCTCCCGGGGATCGGTTCCCACCCGAGCCTCTTACCCTCCTTCGAAGAAGAACCCAAATTGGCCCACCTCCCCAGCCCTTACCTGCTCAGCCAGTACCTTCAGAGAAGATCCTGGGAGGACGTGCAGAGTCCCGAGGCGCCTGGGAGTGGCCGGACTGGGGGCGGGCGGTGGGCGCGGCTTCCGCGGGTTCCCGCCTCCCTCCCACCGCGGCGCCAGGGCTGAAGGGGCGCGGCCTGCCGGGAGGGCCTGCTCTGGGCCCGGCTCCCGGACAGATCCGTCGGTGTCGGCTGCCTAGTGGCTGCAAGCCGGCGTCAACGCGCAGACCCCCCCCCTCCTCCGCTGCTGTCCCTCCCGCCCTCTCCTGTCCCTCCCGCCCACTCTGGGCTCGCGCACAGCCCTCTCGTCTGGGGCGATTTTTTTAAAGGACAGTGGAGCTCAGAGAAGCAACAGGAGACGGCCTGTGAGGGGGCGTGCGAGCGCGGGAGAGGATGTGCGCTCGGCGGTTGCTTTTTGTTTTCCCTCTGGTGCGGGTGGGAAGGGAGCGAGACAAACACAATGCCAGAGCTAGTGTCTCCCTGAAATGGTAAACTGAGGGGAACGGAAAAATAAAGAGAAAATAACCCAGCACCAGACAGCAACCCACGTTAATTGGGAGGCTTGGCGATTAAGGGGAAGTGAACTAAAAGCATGAATGGCTGTGTCGTAGGCGCAGGAGCCAGCTCTGGTTGTAGTTGTCATTTTCAATGAGAGCCAGGTGGGGTGCTGGCGGCGGGGCCGTCACCCCTACCACAGATGTACCCAGACCTCCTTTTCAAGCCCCCCACCCCACCCTCAGGCCACAGCTGGTCCCCTCAGTGCTGTCTGTTCAGGCCCCCCTCCACTCCAGTCTTCAAGGGCCACAGTTCCAGACGACAACTTTGAATTTTTAGATTTAAATCCCAGATCTGCAACTCCACCAGTGCTGCCGTGACCTTGGGTAAATCACAGAAGGACCCTCTTGAGCCTCAGTTTCCTCATGTGAAAATGGTGATGATTAATACTGACCTTGTGGGAGGCTTAGCCGCAGTGCTCACGGTGAGCACTCAAAAAACTGGCTCTGACTATGGGGAGGAGAGCTTGTAGGAAGGGAGGAAGGCCAGGCACAGGCAGAAACCACAGGAACACAGCAAAGGCCAGCCATGCAGGTGAGTACCCAGGAACTGGGTGGAGGCTACCCAGCCTGAGCGAAGGTGTGGGAGAGAGGGGGCAATTCTGAAAGACACTGTGACTATCCAAGTCTGGGTAGGGCCACAGGGTCTTCCTTGCAAACCCCAAACCCTGGGGTGATGGATACTTCTCCGAACAGCTGGACAACAGGTCAGGAGAGACCCAGCCCTGCCTCAGCACACCCAGCCCTGGGCCTCATCTTTCTCACTTGTGAAATGAGGGAGATGGGTTAAATATTCCCTGAGGTCCCTTTCAGCTCTAACCCTAGATGATTTAATTATTTTAATAAATGATTGGAGTCTCAATACCCCAAGACATGAAATAGAAATGAATTTAAGGATTTGCACACATTTGGAGCCAGTAGAGGAACCATAAATAGCTACTGAGAAAGAGAGAGATAGAGCTCCATCAGGCAACCAACCCTTGGGAGGACAACTCTGGCCCCTTTAGCGCAAGCCCTTGGGTAGAATGGACCCTGCTCTGGCCCAGTTGCAAACCCTGGGCTCTGGTAAAAGCTAAACCTCTTCTACCAAAGCCCACTTCAAACCTTACCCAGCTGTGTGACATTAAACAGACTCCATAACCATTCCGTTCCTCTTCTTTTCCTCTATTAACTGAGGGCTTTGTTACAATTGTCCTTTCCTCTTTGCATTTCCTCTAGGTGGGAAAGGCAAAGCCACACCACTTGCTAGGCCCATGTCCTTGGGCAAGTAGATGAATCCGTTCCAGGTACCCTGACGTCTGCCTTTTGGCCACCTCTGTACGTGCCTTCCAGAGCTCCTATTGGTGAGAACGTGTAAAACCCAGGCTTTGCAAGCCTGTTTGAGAAGGGAAAGGCCAGTGGGTCAGAACTCCAAAGTCAGGCCACCTGTTGGTATCAGCCCCTTTCCTGCCAGAGAATTCTAAAGTGTTTGGCCAAGTTACTCCCAGGTCACCTTGCCTGTCACTGCTAACCAGTGACAGGGATAGTAGGAGCCACATTCACATGAGGAACGGTCATGGCTTCACCTCAAATAGTGCTTCTTCACATTCCATCCCAGGGCACTGCTGAAGGAATTTGGGATGTTACAGTCACAAACTAGGGGGAGTCACATCTCCCTCCTAGGGGAGAAAGAAATACATCTACCCTATGAAAAACGTAAGTATGGATAAGAAGAGGTCACCAGCTGCTACCATTCTTTCAACACATTTACTGATGTGAGGAGCCACTGCTGAGCCCTGGGCCAAGCTCTGGGGAGGAAATGGTGACAGTCAAGGCATGGTCCCTGCCTTTGTGAAGTGTATACCTACCGGGAAAGATAGATAGTCATCAAATAATCCCATAGTAAGTGTGTAATTAAAACACTGTTCAGAGCCCTGAGGATGTAGCACGTGAGAAGCAAGCTGAAGGGTCAAGAGGATGAGGTGAAGGAGCCAGGAGTTCGTGTGCCAGGCAGGGCTGAGAAACGATTCTGACACAGGAACAGAAGAAGCGTGGGCAAAGTCCCCAAAGCAGGAGGAAGCATGGTGTGAAAGGAGCCAGTGTGGCCATCGAGCAGAGGAGGCACACCGGAGAAGGAGGCAGACGGCAGGCTAGGCAGGGCTTGTAGTCCCTGGATGATTCCAGCTTTTATCCTCAGGGCAGTGGGAAGCCACTGAAGGGCATCAAGAAAACTGTTACAAGCAAGAGTGAGGGAGAGGCTCCCTCAGGATGTTCCTGGGGGACCCTGCAGTCGGGGCTCAGGCGATTGTGAGGAAAGCAGTCCTAACCTACTGAGAAATGGGCCTGGTCCTTCTCTAGGGCTAGAGGGTTCTTCTAGAAGGCTCTTCTAGAGGCCCAAGATGCAAAGAGGTACACAGCAATAGTAGAAGTAGAGCAAGAAAGGACAGGAGCCATTCCTACCCACCCCCACACTGGAGCCATGGGAAGACCTAGGACTCAGGAGGACAGCATCATTCTTGGGCATGGAAGGGACTGCTCCACACTTGAAGCTTGTGCTGAGCTAAGTACCTTACAACTGTGCAGTTAAAACCCAATCTGGATAGCACTTGTGCCCCTTGTACTGTGGCAAAAACAGCCCTTCAACAAGTTAGTGCCTGGGTTACCCAGCCACGGACAGGAAGGGGAGGGCGCCTAGAGGAATTACAAGGAGGAGACCAGGAGTATCAGGGGACACCCTCTGTTCCTGCTAGCAGATACCTCTCCGAGATGGACACAGGAAGCCATGGGATGTCATTTCATCCTGGGGTGCAGACTGCAGAACCTGAGGAGACCCTGCCAGACAGCGTGTGGCCCAGCCCATTTCCAGCTCACAGACTGCTGCTTTGTGTCCATTCACACTCATTTTGCTTTGTACAGTGCCTAGGTGGTGCAAATGGTTAAAGTGATCAGCTACTAACTGAAAAGTTGGGGATTCGAGTCCATCCAGAGGTACCTCAGAAGAAAGATTTGGCCATCTACTTCCAAAAAATCAGCTATGAAAAAACTCTGTGGGGCACAGCTGTATTCACAGTTTTTGTCCTGAGTCAGAATCAACTCAATGGCAACTGGTTTTGCTTTGTACAAGTTTGAATATGTGTCTTTGCCCCTCGACCCAATTATAAGCCCCAGTCTCTAGCACAGAACGATGCTTTCCTAACTCCTTAGCTGAATAGATCTCTTATCACTCCCAAGCCACTCTTGATCCTGGACCCCTCCTACCCTGACTTTTCTTTCTCGAACTCCTCCACTTCTCCCTGGATAGCTGTGTTGGACCTTTTTTCATTTAAATATTTCCTGGACCATCTAATCCACAACCATGGTTTTATCCTCCCTCTTAGGACTGATGGACCCACAATCTCCAGCCTGGTCCTCTCCCCAGAGACCCAGACAAGTAACCCCCAGGGACTCAGCACTGCTCCCAATCAATCCATCACCAAACTCCTCACAAGCTTCTTCCCCTCACATGTCCTCCTTGGATTCATAAATGGCACTGTACCAAATTGGTTTCTCACCAGGAAAGGATGTGATAGCTTCACTCCTCTCTCCACGGTGCTTCTCATCACTGTAGCTCTCTCTAGCCCCACTGCTTCTGCTCTAGGTCAGGCCTCTGTGTTGTCAGCTTCCCACTGGTGACTCTCCCTCAGTCTCCCCACCCCTAGTCTATCACCTTTTGCTTAGTAGAGTTATCTTCCACAACACAAATGTGATTAAAACCTTCAACATCTCCCTATCTTCTACAAGTTGAAGCCCAGCTTCTTAACATGACATTCACTCTTGACAACCTGGCCCCCACCTGCCTTTCCTGCTTTATCTCCTGGCCCTCTCTCTGCCCTTCCTTTCCCAACCCTATCACCTTCATCACCCCAATCCTTGCAAATGCTGTGCCCCAGCCCAGCAGGGCCCCTCACAATTATCTAAGTACTCTGCCTACTTTATTGCCTCTAAACCTTTGCTCACATAGTTTCTCTGCTTGAAACACCCTTTCCCTTCCCTTCTCTACTTGGAAAAATCCTACCTACTCTACAAAGTTAAATTCAAATATTACCTTATTAAAATTAATGCCATCTTGTCCATGTTGTCATTAATAGCGTTGTGCCTCTCCATCTGTAATTGTATAAATCATAATCTGAATTTCACTGTGTTGAATTGCATATATCAGCTTCCGCAATAGAATGGTACTCTTTGTCATCAGGCCTAGCATCTTACTCCATTTATAGGTCCTAGTGCCTTCATAGTGCCCCACCTATAACTTGTTGAATTTAAGTGAACAGTAGCTGTTGACTGTGAGACACTGTATGATCCTGCCCCAATCAACCTTGTCAGACTCATTTTGAACACCTTCTTCCTTATTGTCTCTCCAGCCAGCAACTTCTCAGCTTAACCAAAAGGGGCATTAAAACTGAGTCCTGATACTCTGGGTGTCTTAGGCTGGGTTCTCTAGAGAAGCAAAACTAGTAAAGCATATAAATAT